ATTAACTGTTACTTGAAGTAGATGTGATTAGGCTAAGAAACATGACGTAGACAAGGTATTATTCTGTAATATACGTGTTTATTTCCTGTTAAGAAAAATCAGTTTTTGAGATTTATCAAAGTTTTAACTTTGCTCACACTTCAGATTTGTTGCTAAAATTTCATTCAATCATATGGTTTTATAGTTGTTGAATGGTTGGTATTAACTATCAGAAATACTAAGTGGCGCGATATCACTGCCAGTACTACTGTTGAAAAGGTATGGTGGCATTGTAAGTGCAAAAAAATCTATCGGTTCGGTGGTGCGTATTTCTTTCAGTAAAGGAGAACTGTGATATGATCGGTTTACATTATCAATGTATCACTCGCTATTGCAGAACTGTGTTTCGTATCGAAATTATGTCATTTGCTGATTTCTTCAGAAATGCTCAAGTATTTCAGGTTTACTTGCAGGTATTTTGTACGGCGACATGCAGGCAATTAAATGTGTCGTCGTCGGAGACGGGTAAGAACTTTATGGAATTTAATAAGGTACCAGAAAGCAATTTTTGGTCTTGTTTCTTCAAAAACTTTACTTGGGAAGACTGGAATTAGTCTAGTTTGATGACTGACTGTCTTAACTCAGAAATCATTGTGGGTTCATTCCAGGCTGCTCTATATCACGTAGTTAATAAGCATAATATTATGTTCGGCACAATTGAATGTCAGTAGCACATTAATTGTGTAAATTGTTAAATTATCATTTTGATGTGCACTGTTGATGTTAACTGTAATATTTCGGTATGCTTTGTCTTACAGCGCCGTGGGTAAAACCTGCCTTCTTATAAGTTACACCACGAATGCTTTTCCGGGGGAGTATATTCCAACAGTTTTTGACAATTATTCAGCGAATGTCATGGTCGATGGAAAACCAATCAATTTAGGTTTGTGGGACACAGCTGGTCAAGAGGATTATGATCGATTGCGACCACTAAGTTACCCACAAACAGTGAGTGGATAGTTGCTTTTAAAACTTTATTACGTTTACAGTGTGAGTTTTAAGTATTGCAAAATATAATGTGTTAAAAATGATTCAAAGCACATTTGAATTTTAATTTTAATCTCATTTGCGTATAATTCTCGACTTATATTGAGAATACTTTTTCAGTTAACACTTGTTCTTTTATCGTATTAAATCTATATTTTTTAAAATAATTTATTTAATAAATTTCCAGGACGTCTTTTTAATATGTTTCTCACTTGTCAATCCTGCTTCTTTTGAAAATGTGCGTGCCAAGTGGTATCCTGAAGTCTCTCATCATTGTCCAAATGCACCAGTCATTTTAGTGGGTACAAAATTAGATTTAAGAGAAGATAATGAAACTGTTGAACGATTGCGAGAAAGGCGTTTAGCTCCAATTAGTTATTTGCAAGGGCTGTCCATGTCAAAGGAAATCAGTAAGTTTTTTGTTGTCTGAAGTTCCTTTTCTTGTATCGCTGGCTTAAATTGGCACTGCGAAGATTATACTATTATTTGCTTTCACACATAGTCGGGAGAACAGTAGGGTGACATCTTACTGATGAATTCATTTCATTCAAAGGATTGATTGTACTATTGAATTTTTAAATATATTTGTGTACAAATAATTCATAACAGATGCTGTGAAGTACTTGGAATGTTCTGCATTATCACAAAAAGGACTGAAACAAGTATTCGATGAAGCCATACGTGCTGTTTTGATTCCGCCACCGAAACCAAAACGATCAAGAAAATGTACTATACTTTGATAGCAAATGGACCTGAGCTTGGGAATAATATTTCTGATTATAGTAATGGCTGGTATTCTCTGGTGTAATGGGGTATGAAGGGTGGACGTGGAAGTGGAGAAGAGATAGAAATTGTTTTCGCTTATTATGCTAACAATATAAAACCGTTGTTATATGTGCGCCGCATATATGATGTGATAATCAGTATTTCAAAATAAATGAATCGTAATCTTGCAAAGTATTCTTTACTGAAAGGTGAGGTCGTTGGATTTTTCTCGAATTCATTCCTTATATTTTAATTTCCTTGAGGATTTTGAGTGCTTTAGGGGACCGCAGTTTTTTCTTGATCAATTGTATCTTTATAAGCTAAAGAGCTTTCTTGTTTACCACTAGTCGTAGACTGTGGTATAGAGAAATCACCTGCATTTAGCCTCCATCAAACAAATTCATATGTTATGCCGTGTAATAAATTTAATTTTAAATGTCAGTAATAAGGTGTTATTACTTGCTTTATAGCTTCTTACACTTTCTAGTCTTAGCTTTATCTCTTTATATTTTGATCACTTTCATTTGTTTCGGTACTTTTTTATTCAGAAGTCTCGTAAATTTTTCATAAGACATGAAATGATGACAGATAAAATAAGCAGTATCTGTATGCATCTACTTTTATTTGATTGATGAAAGATAAGATTGTGTGAGTTTGTAATTTAGGTATTTGTTGTGAGAGTTTGTGGTTTGCGAATAGGATTCTGACAGGCAAGATTTCTGTAGTTTGGAAGTTTTCAATTTCAGCCATAGTTTGCATTTACTTTGTGTTGTGTTATTGTTTGAATAAACACCACACACATGAATTTGTCATGCCAATAAAGAACAAAAGTGTTTTGCACTTGATTTTTTCATGCAGTAGCTTCATAGATTAGTCTAAACCTCTTATGAGTTTACTCGTTCGAAGCGTCCGTCGTTATCTTTTAGGGACTGCTGGTACCGTTTTTCTTTAAATTGCTTGCGAAGCATTGGTCATACGGAGCTAACAGATTTTTATGGCACTGTGTTCAGGTTTTGCTTCGTTTGTTTTCTCAAACTTTGAATTTAATACAGAAATCAATTCTGGGTATATGTAGTCTTAGCGTACTCGCTGTTTCTTGTATTAGTAATTGTTTCAATCTGATATGCAGTGTAAGTACTTCAAAGTTTCGGTAGATGGAGTGAACGTTGTCTGTCTCGAGAAATATATTCTTTCGATTTATTTTTGTTTCTCATTCTTTTTGCTTAGTATGCAGTTATCTGACATCAGATTTATTTGGCTTTTACATTTTCGTTTTGCACTGATTAAATAAGGATGCAAGTGAAAGAGCAGTTTTTTGTTGTTGTAGAAGTTCAAGCAAATTAATCCATCTAATATTGCTATCTTATTTATTGTGAAACGTTCCGATGTATAGGAGATTGGTAGTTTTGGTTTTACGTGAGAGCTCATTTCTTTGTCGCGATATATTTGTATTGATTTGACGATTTCCATCTTTCACACTCCCATCTCATTTTAAATCTCGAGTCTTCTGAGTTCATGCTGCAAACCTGTAAAACCTGATATGTAGTGTCTGTCATCGTCCGACTGTAGCTTGATAAGATGGTCATGTCATAACAATAATTAATAATACAAAATGTGTTCCAGAGTAAAGCCAGATTTGTACCGTGTAAAAAGGAAGAATGGCTGAAATGAAAAATACTGGTTGTAGTCACAGTGGGTTTCGAATTCGATGGGTAGTGGATAAGGGACCATGTAACGAGTAATCTCGATGACTCCTTCACTCATGCCATCTTTTTATACTTGAGAAGGCATGCGATGCTGGTTCCTTGTGACACATATAGTTTGCCTACGAAATCCACTGTTTGTGTTGCTTCGATTCTCCTAGCATATCTGTTATGGAAAAGTCGAATATCATCACAAATTCCTTGGTTGAAGTTAGTTTTGACATCGTGGTAAGAAGTTCTTTGCTTATTGAGCCTAGATCATTTGATTTTTTATCATCAGGACCAGTGGGTTACTAGCTCACGCATTTGTCTTAAATTCTCAATTTCAGTCGTTCTTCTGTACGCTTTGATTGATTTTTTCTGCAGACCATCGATCCCCAAATTTTTTCAACATAAAATCCAATGTCAAATATTCTCAATTAAGTGATGAGATTGAATTTACCATATGGACATTCGACGCAACTTTTATTTAATTCTAGGTATGGTATCTCTCTTATTGCAGAAGTGTGAATATTTTTAGATGTACGCAACAGATGTATGCTGTTGCAGGTTAGACCTGTTGTGGAGTTTTGATGAGATTGTTTTCATGACGAATGGAAAACTTAGCATCTCGTTATTGAATGAAAAATGAGATAAAAGTTTGGTGCACAGAATTTACGTAATTGTTACTATCATGTTTGCTTACTATTTATTAGTCAATGTTGGTGTAGCATGTAGCGTAATGGATCATGGTGCATATAGCGCGAATAATGCTAATTTGTTATTGCCCAAAAATACACTGCAGTGTGATGATGGTAATAACATGCAGTTCCCAAATTGGGTACCATGATTCTGTTTGCGGTTAAAGCGATTTTATATTGTTATTTATTCACGCCCTGTTCAAGCTCTGTGAAATTATTGACTTGCCTTGAATTGTAAGGCATTAGAGATGAAATTGAAGTGAGTTTGTTTTGAAGCTACTGTTACCTGATGGTGATGGATATGTGCATGTACTTTCAGTTAAATCATATTAGGTAAAATATGTGTGTATGGTTACTGGTTGATTGCTTCCTCCATTTTTTCTTTTTATTGTCCATCCTCCACTTCACTTTAACCACTCTTTTTCTTGATTGCTATATGAGAATTAGTGTATATGTTCAAAATGATGTTGACAATATTTAGCTTTTTTTACTATCAAATGACACACGCATAAAAGTTCTCTGAACCTTTATCTTAATATATGTATGCGTTGTGTGGTAATACGTACCATTGGGATTTAAACGAGTTCTATATCGAAATTGTCTTCAGGCAGCTGTATTCTGAAACTTATTTGTGATGTTGCAGCAGTGAGGTCCAAAATTTGAATGGATTGGTTGGATTCATTCTCCACTGGCCTAAAATGTGGCCTGACAAAATGTAGTTCAGAAATTGCTTCAGGAATTGAACAAAGCTCATTCTCTTGAGTCTATACAGTTCTTGGACAAACTGAGTTTATTTGAAAATGAAATTATACTAAGATTACTTTGAGGACTTCTCGCACAAGATGTTTCTCTCTTTGTTTCCGAAGATACCATGAGTGTGCGGGAGGTGACGCTACTGAACTGATTCGAGTATTCGAAATAGCAGACTCTTACAGACAATTGAGAAAGCTTCATCTGATGAGAAAATAACAGGCAAGTATTATCATTGCAAGTACTGTCGCAGACATATAAATGTCTTTCTGCAATCTGTGCACGTTCTGCACACGTAATCACCAATAATAGTAACGCTGCTGCAATATGGAGAAGATTTTTTTCGTTCTGTCATGTCGAAATTTCAGATGAATTGTGTCTTAGAGTGACACAAGGTTGTACTAGACAAACAATACCATTAAACTATTCTGATGTAGAAGCCAAACTAAATTTCTTCGAAATTCCTTCAGAATCTACACTCTCCAGTGAGTCCAATAAGCAAAAAGCTTTGGTGATAATGGTCTTCACGAGAATATGCCCAAAACCATTGAATAGAAAAATTAGCATACACTAAAACTTTCATGGTGTATTGGTGAATTATTTTCCCGCAATATCACCAGATCTGTAGGGAGTGTATAATCTGCTCATGCTTTCGAGTGCTATGAGTTCTTATGATAGCCTTTAAGTTTTAAGTGATCATTGTTTGCAAGCTCACGAAGCAAAAGCTTCTATAGAAGTGACCATAGAAACGGAATTGTTTGTCAGCTATTTATAGTTGTGCCAGAACTGCCTTATCTCTTGTTTTTAACTGTGGGTCAATACGTTGTAGATTTCGTGCAGTTCCATTTTGTCGGTTTCGATAGTGATAAGTCAATAAATCTCAGTATTAATTTCTGTTACTGCAAGAGATGCTTCGCTGCATGCTGATTTTACTATTTAATCGTTTTAAGCATATACTCTTAGGAATCACTATCATTGAAGCTTTTAGCATTTTCGATTCACTGGAGAGTGTAAAAATTTCGAAGAAATTCAGTTTAGCTTCCATTCTCTTGATTTGGGTTTGGTTTTATTTTGTAGAGCACCGATGATTATACATCAGTTACTTTAAAAGACATTTCAAATATTTTCACTTCTGTTTCGTCTTAAATGAAGAAATTCTCATGAACTTGTATTTCTGTCCTAGTACTGTAGTCTGCTCAGATATTATCTCAAACAGTTGCTCATTTCCAGGATCAGAATACATTTATGAAATTGTTCGCTTAATACAACTTTGTGTCTCTCAAAAACAAAATTCTTCAGAAGTGTGATCAGTTTGATTTATGGTCACTCGTGTTGGCTTTTGCAACAAGTTTTCTTAATACTTTTTGTGTATGGCTCGTAATTATTTGTAGTCAAGTATTATTGGAAAATAACAGAAATATTTTAATAATTGGTCGTATGATGTGTATTAATTTGCTTACTAACTCTCATGCTTTTTGTATCCAGCTTTTACCATTTTCGGAGCATGAAGTTTGCAGTAAGCTAATAAAGGAAAGGAAAAATGTTCATACGAAATGCGGTGAATTTTTTAATTCAAATGGTCATGGTTATTCAAGCTGTGATGTCCGGTACACTTTGTACGATGAATGCACTTTTGGCAAGTGCTAATGGTTTTTGGAATGTTTCGCTCGGAAATTCAGTTGTATTTATATTTGTCTTCATTATGTAAAGGTTTGTCCTGTTCTCTTATTCTCGTATTAGACTGGAGTAGCGGATAGTGGGAGTGATATTAACAAAAGGCCTTATCTATCTTTTTTGCTCTCATCAAATATCTTTTTCCATCATTCATACTGCTTCGTTAAAAAATTGATGGTCTCAACACCATCAATTTTTTAAAGAATTTAAGGAATACAATTTAAAATTTTTAAAATTATAAAAAAGAAATGAACTTGGTATGGAGCTTACCTGTCGCAACAAATTATCTGTGTGGTGGACATTTCAGATCTTTTTGTGGGTATTAAAGTACTCAACAATTCAAAATTTCTTATCGTTCAGAAGTGCTAGCATTCCAAACTTTCTCAAAGGTGGATCACTAAGTATCCAAACGATTCTAGATATGGTTCAATTCCTAAAATCACAAAGACAATGAAGATATTGCTGGTTTTGATGCTTTTTTGAATGGGATATTACATAATTTAGCTAATTTGCAGAGACTATTGATGCCACATCATTTCCTACATTCGAATATCTTCATTAACTCTTGTCGTCTCTCATGATCAGGCAACTGTTTAACTTTTCGTTAATACCGATTTTGATTGTTCACTTAATGTTTGAAGTGCTTCAGTAAAGTATATTTTTGTTTGAAGGCCATGTATAGAAATTTGAAAATGATTTTTGGTTTGCTAAATAATCGTATTTTGTCAATTTGCTTCAAATATCAGATCTGTTTTCTTTTATTTTATTGGTAACATTGAAAGAACTACGATAAGTTCTTCTTTGGAAGATCTTAAATAGCATGATCAATAAAATATCGTAAATATATTTCACTAAGTTCAAAATAAAATTTTACAAATGTGGCGCAAAAAAGGATCCTAAATACCAGTATATGAACTAGTTGCTGTTCTGAATTTAATAACAAAGGACCCGGGAACAGTTTATTAGCCGCAATGTCGAGACAGACAAAATCAGGGAGGTCTGGACCAAGGTGTACGATTTGGGGAGAACGGATAAAGGTGCCCGCTACAACGAATATCTGGAAGAGCTTGTTTCAGATACTTTTACATCTGAAGTCAAATTTGAAAAGTTGGTTTTTTAGATAGGAAACTGGGGTTTTACTGAAGAAAGTATAGAAGCATTGTTCTTGCTCAGATGATCTCAAAGTTACTCTTATACTACGATTGTATTTGAAGCGAATTAGTAGTCAACGCGTATTTCGAAGTATCTGACTGTAAATGAAATTGACGGCAAATGAATTCAGGTTATTTATCTGTTTCTTTGTCCAAACAATATTTGCTCGATATAAATAAGATGAAAGAAGTTTCAGTGATTACACTTTTGACTTGAGAACTACTTATTGTAGCTACCCTGCATATATCAACCTACAAATATAGCATTGTTTAAAATAGCAACCATTGATGTGAAATTCTATAAAAAGCACTAAACTTCTAACGTTTGTACTGCTTCCATAAAGTATGAAACGTGATTTCTCGAGTAGATTTTAGAAAGTTCGCATGTCATCCTAATGTTGATTACGCTGTCATTTCTTCACAACAAGCATTAAACGAGCAAGTCGGTTACCGCCATGTGTAAGAATCTCTCAGCTTCTCTATCTTTTTTCTTTGCTCTAAAAATTTTTTGGCATTTCCCACAAAATGCAAGCAATTTATGTTCCATATAATTAGTATTAATTTTTATTTTCTACTATTAATTTTTATTTTCTACTATTTGCTTAATCAGAATTTTAAAGATTCATAATTTCTAAGGCGACTTGTTAAACTCAGTTGACCATGATTTACTCTAAATTTAAAGTCGAGAATTCAAAACATCATTTTCATAAAAACCGACTTCCACAATCATTGCACCCAGCAACAAACAATGAAATTAGCGACATAAATATAGATTTTTCCGTTTATTTCTTCCAAATTAAAACTCAAGAAAATAGTAATCTCAAAAGTGGATTTAATAACAAAATACAAGTAATACAATTTATCAAGAGCAAAATAACAGAAAACCTGTGCCATATTACAAGAAAAATCCAAATATTCGATATATCAATTTCCTCAAGATCTGGAAGAATCTACAAATATGTGAAATGCATTAATATTTCGGTTCGAAACCAATATTAGGAACAGAGAAAAAACCAGAAGTTGGTATGCAAAGAGTTTGACAAAAAAATATGCGTGATAATGATAGTATGGTCAAAAGTGCTGCCCAACTACAACAGTCATGTACCTAACATGTAATAACTGAACAGTGTACAGCAGAAGTCTGTCTGTTATAATAGTGGGATGGATAGCACGTTTCGTTATATATAATTCAGCAATTTAGAGCAAGTCATGCTAATATACCTCGTTTATTCATTTTTAGTACAGATTCTTTATTGAAATGCATAATTCATTTCATAATTATGCTATATGTCCTCGCTAACTTAGGTAAGAGGCGTCATTTTAATCAACATGGATAAGGAAAGCTGATTATGCCCAACGTGAACGGACTCAAACAGTGGTACCCTTAGTTTGTGAACATGAAGTGTTGTGCTTCTTTAGGCTTTTGGTTAAAGAATTATAGCAAACACTAGATCAACTAGTTCTATATAATAAGTACATGTTTGGCTGACATAAGGACATAAGTTCATAAGAGATCAGTTATGACTGCAAAAACAACAAATATGTCTATCTATATATATAAACAAACAATATCATATAACTATATATATATAATATTCGTCAACAATTTCACTATTTGTTGGAAAAATCTACAAGTTTAAATTATTTTATAATGTGAGATCAAAAACCAAATTAAAAACGATAAGAAGAAGTCCATTTTTTTTTATCACTGTGAACTAATCGTGCTGGATGAGCATTGCCAAAACTATTTGATGCTACCACGATTATCTCGCTGATGTCATTAGCAGCATTACCGTAAATACGGGTACTGGTTGTTGCTACAGAATTCAGTTCCCAAGTCGCTGAAAGTTTATGCTTCCAGTAAATGTGATACATGTCTGCACGTGGAGTTATATCCCAATGCAGTAATAAGTCACCTTCCGAACTGGGAAGAACTTTCAGACCGGATACAGTAGCTGGACGGTTATCAGCATTTTCCATGCGACATTGAAAAATGGAGAAGGTATATACAGCACATACATGAGGAATTGTTTCCAGTTTATTCATTTGGAATTCATCGCAAAGAGGTAAACAAATACCAGGTACTTTTTTCCGCAAGCAGCAAGCACCCTCATCAATACCAGCTGTTGTGCATGTTAAAAATTTACTAATTTCATCCTCACAACGGCTATTGATGAATGATTCGGCACGTAGTGCTGCACGCTTACCAAATTCTGACCCACAAACGGCAACACAAGGTGAGCGTATACCTAAACGTTGACAACACGTATATGGCAATTCAGGAGGTACTGATGTTGCTGAAGTTAATTTGCGCTGCACCACGCGAATATCAGCACTAGAACTACCAAAATCATTGGTTGCGATGCACCGATAGGTGCCAAAATCAGAGAACTTTAAAGATTTTATCTGCAAAGTGGAAACATAATGGCGCGGATGCTCATGGGATGAGATATAATTTGTAAAGCTATATTTTTCCCCTGCAATCCCTTCATAAAGTCCCGCTTTCTCAAGAAATTTTTTCCACTCAAAGTGTGCACTTTTGTGAACAGTGCCGGAGACTTCCATTCGACAAGCAATTGTCACTGAAAACGCGTTACTCGGAGTAGCGACAGTGTCACGATATGCTAGAACTCGTGGTGCAACTCCAGCCGTATAGAAATGAACTGTCTCAGAAGGTAAAGATCGATGACGCCCATCACGAGTTATTGCGAGCACATGTACTAAATATTTGCTGTCAGTACGTAATCCAGCTAATGTTACTTTGTAACCCCTCGTATTAACAGTCTTTTCAATATAACCAGTATCAGCTTCCTTGCATACAACTTGGTACGATTCTGCAAGATCTGAATTTACTGCAGGAGGTGACCAAGCTAGCACCACGCTATTTGTGCTTTTGGATAATACACGCAAAGAAATGGGTGATGTCGGTATACTTAAGTATCCACGTTCGAAGCAACGAAACATAGAATGCAAATTAATGGCTAGACAAGTTTGATATTTATCCCAAGTTCCAATTCCATCGATCCCCTCACCTCGACACATACCAAAACAAGCATTTTCATCACGATCCTTTGCTTCACTCATACAACAATGGATATGATCACGACCGTCAGCAAGACATTCTGAGATAACATTCATATACGGCTGACAGTTGAATTTCCGTTCAAAAATATTATAAACATCAAAATCATTAGGTGGATTGTGGGGATTACATAGCATCTGTGTACACGTTTCCGTTACGCCACCTTTGCGACAGCACTGTCTTACGAGAACTGCTTCAACACCGTTGCTCGCGTTGTATAGAAAGAGTAAGAACAAGAGTAACAGTAACAGCAACAGCGACAACCACATGTGAACAATCGGGAGGACAATCCTTCCTTCACACCGAAAGCACGCAAAGGTTGGGTTTCCTTTTCAAGGTCTTCTGTTGATGATAGATAGATACCATAAAAGTATCTACATCATCTTCCTTCCCTTCCCTTTGGTTTCCATTCTGCTCCTCTTCGAACATTCAACATTAAACCTTTACATACCTAAATCAACGCTCTCAAACCATTTAGTTACTTTTGTATGCACATTTTTGACAACAAATTTTTCTTTTTATTATTGTCGTGTTATTCACTTACTTCCCTTATTAGCGCGGTAATCTGTTGCAATCATTCCTTCCTCCATCGATCATATTTTTGTTCTGTCTTCATCCGTTCCATTGACTGCGAAGGTCAGCACTCCATACTTTTCTTCAGCCTTATCAATCACTATTCACTATTATTCCTCTGCTAATTAATTAAACACAGACAAACATTTGTCTATCAGTTTACTTACCTACCTAAAACCAACCTTAGTATACAATGTGATCTACAGAAATCATTTCTTACTCTTTTACACATGATAACTAATACATGTACGCTGCAGTACAGATAGTGAATGCCTTTATGCCATCCTAAAGGTGATGATAGAGTAAGAAGTACATGCATACTCATATTCATGACCTTAACAACTTACACTTCTATCATTCCTTTCCAAATGTTGTTTACCCATCAATCCCTCTCACAATAACGACTTTAAAACAGTAAAAATTGATACCAATAAACACACAGGTCTGAAGGCAATTTTATCCTTATTTACCTACGTTACTGTACACACACGACACATAAATACTACATGAGATTCTTCAATTCATTTGCTACTATAATTAATAATAGTATATTCCCTGATGTACTTGCACTTCCTCATATCTCCAGTAAGTGGTCATTGTAACGGCACAAAACTAAGTAATTGTGCAGTGGTATGCATCTCGTCCCTCTCACGATTCATTAACTTTTAATTTCGTCCTTATAGTGATATCCTCCTCTTTGTTTGTCATCAGTAATGAATAACTGCTACAGACATTGCCGATACCATATACTTTCACAATTTGATAGCAGTGATGAAGTTTAATCAAGCGAGATGATTACCATGATTACCGATCTTACTGGATTACCAGATAAGCAAAGGAAACTTTCTGATCCAATATCATATTCACAAGCTATTAGAATTTAAAAGATCTCTTCATGGCCCCCTACATTCCATAGCAAATCTTTGTCACTTCTACCATTCTACGTCAGCTAAAATTTGTCATATTACAAGCAAATATTAAAAAATATTAAAATAAGTAAAAATATAATGTTTGCACAACATTAACCTAGCGCTTCCGCACCAAAAGTAAACAAACAAGTCAATTAGAATATATAATTGTCTGGTTTACATAACCATCTACAAAATCAGAAATATCGACTTTCATCATTCTTTCTTCCAGTGTTTTTCTACACTGACCTACCATGCAAGTTGATGCAAAAGATGTTGTCTAGTACGCACGTAGACACCAAAATGCAGGTCAACATGCTGGTCTCCAATGATAAACATTAAAGGAAATAGATGATCCTAGATGTGACTAATCAATTTATATTTTTCTCAATCGCTTTATTTAAGTATTAATCTTCGCCGCGCCGGACTGATATATATATATATATCACACGGAGGTTATTCCCCTTTTCTGCATCATGGATTCTGGCGATGGAACATATTCTGGCATTCTCGCTGCACTCGCCCCACGCTCAGTTCTGCTGTGCTGATCTTCGCTGCTTCGTCCTCGTCGAATCCACTGCGCTGATCGAATGAGATGCTTTCGAGCGTTTTCTAAAGCACTATAGACTGAATATATGCCTCAACTTGATCACATATACTGATTTCCTTCGCGCAACGAAGTTCGTCACTATCCTCTCCCAAGTCATCACATATTTTCGTCCTCAATTCATCTCTGCCCCGAGTTTATTAGCCAGTAAATCGTAATTTCGCTTCTTCTTGATCTCGACTGCTATCAACCTGTCATGACCAGTGATGCCAATCTCTATCAGGATTACTTCACGTCGCTTCTTATCGTGTACCAGGATGTCCGGTCGATCCGCTTTTATTCTAATTGCAGTTCTTACGTATCGAATCTCATTTCAACGTTTTCGTTCACAACAATTTCCTGAACAGAGTGGCTCTGCAAGTTTTTATACCATACTTTTTCAAAGTCCTCAATGAATACATCGCAAGACTTCATTGTGTCTTCTAGTATAGCCATGATATAACATTTTCTCACACTGCATTGCTATATGGGTCCATCGTCTTCACACGTTACCTACAATGTTGGCATATACCTTTTTCAGCTCCGAACATATTTCTGTCTTGGAAGTGACAGTATCGCGC